AACTGTATTAAAATCATCATATTCATAAATGGCATTTTCTTGGCAAAAATGTACTAAGTAAATTCAATTTATATTTCCATAAGAAATCAAAGACAACTTCTTGTACTAACCTACATATATATATATAGACATAAATTACTAATAGTGTGAGAAAAATTGATACCAGTGTAGCCATGCATTGGTCAGTGACAAAAGAAATACAAATAAAGAATGAATTGTTTTCCTCAAATCTAGTTGCAAAAACGTTATCATTTGTAATGCTATTAGCTGCCTGAGACATTTTAATTCTTTCCCCTGAGACCTCAAAAATAGCTGTGGGTGTATAGTGTCATATCAAGAGTAAATGCTGATCAACATTTTGAGTGATTGATTTTAATAATGCTGATTCACATTTTTGTTCTAAATAAAATAGCTGTTTTGCCAGAAGAGAACCTCAGAGTTCTACTTTCCCCCCAAGAGATGCTAGAATGAAAGCTATTGTTTAAAATTACATTAGTTCAAATTTTATTTCTAAACATGTCACATATTATTGAGAAGATCATTATTAGGCCATGAGAATGAAAAACGTTTATGCTGTTCCTTCCCACAAAATGATAAGAGTCACAAATATGTTGGTCCTCCATAAATACATATATAAAATCCTTTTAAAATCAGTCTAAGTTAATGACAACCTCATCTTATGCCAGAGATTTCTATAAATTTATTGTATGTTAAATAATGAAATGTGCTTTTTATTTCGAATCTACTGCTAATCAATTTCATCAGTTACGCTTAAGTTCTATTTATAAAAAAAAGATTTTAAGCTACAGAATTTAGTGTGTTAACATGCTTACTATTATAAATGTCTGTAATATCTCCTCTGCTCAAACCTTAGCTGATTCCTCAAAACCTAAGTATGCCTTGGTTTGAACTTGGATGACAAATTACTTCATAACCTCAGGTACAAGAAGTCAAAAGAAAAAAAAAGATATCCCAGAAGGCAACAAAGAAAACTGTATCTGTATTATCACCAAGAAAACCTATATGTATCTCTTTACTTAGCTGATTATTTTCCTAAATGTCATGTCACTTTAATTCTTTCTCAAAATTAAGATGAAGCAAATTCCTAATCACCTTCTCTATATACGCGCTGGAACTAACAGGGTAACGCTTCACATGCCATCAGAAATGGCTCTTCATGCCAGCTGTGGCACACGTGCCATAGGTTTGCCATCACGGTTCTAGTTTATTCTACAGTCCCCGTATGTCCTTGTATAGAAAGTCCTCACTTAGAGACTATAGTTGGAACTGGCAAATTGGTTGCTAAGTGATATGGTTGCTAAATAATGGAAGTAAAAGTATTTCCACTGAACAAGCATTAAAACCAAATTCTACCTGCAGTTTGAAAACATTAATATTTAAATATTAAATATTAACCAATCCTATACATGCCTACTCAGCAGTAAGTCCTACCACATTCAGTGGAATATATTTAGCCTTAGATTGTGGTGAATATTTTTTTTTGTTAATACATGAAAATACTGGGTGTAAATTTTATGAATGTGATATAAAGCAATAATAACATAAAAATATAAATGGATGTGAATTCACGAGAATTCACAANAACCGCTTAGAGAGGGCTGAAAGCCCTATGAAGCGGTATATAAGTCTAACTGCTATTGCTATTGCTATTTCCATTGGTAGACGTAAACTATTTATGTAAATAAGAGAAAAGGGGTTGGGGGGGGGGAAGCCCTACCAAACTATATAGAAAGAAGCAGATAAACAAAAATAGAAAAGATGAAGACAATGTTGTGCGGCCTGTTGTAGTAAATATATAAAAAAATAGGAGAAATACAATCTTAACCACGCAGAAGCATATACGGGTAGTCCTCAAATTACAACTGACCATTCAAGTGGCAAAAATTGATTTAAGGACTCTTTTTCACATGTACAGCCATTTGCAACGTCCCCATGGCCGTGTGATCAAAATTTGGACGCTTGGCAACTGACTCGTATTTATGACGGATGGTCGCAGCGTCCCCGAGGTCACGTGACCCCCCCTTTTGCGAACTTCCAACAAGCGAAGTCGATGGGGGAAGCCAGACTTACTTAACAACCGTCTTACTAACTTGACAAGTGCACTAATTCACTTAACAACGAGTGGAAAGAGGGTTTGTAAAATTGGGGCAAAGCTCACTTAAAAACAACTGCGTTGCTTAACAACGGAAATCTGGGGCTTAATTGTGGTCGTGAGCCGAGGACTATTTCATAAACCTTCTTTTATGACAATAAAGGGGTTAGTTTGAAGGGAGAGAGTGACCCTGTACGTCAGTCTGAGACTTTAGATCCTGGATGGGATCTAAACACATTCGGTGTTCTTGCCAATTTACTAGGGTTTCAGTGTGTTAATTCAGCGTCCCATCAATATGTCTAAAGCTTTTTTTCTGCTCCCCAAAAAAAGATATTAACCATAAGGGGAATTGTAGGACAAGCCCAAGTCATGTGTGTCTAAATAGGATGGTTTTAAACAGTGGTGGTATCCAGCCAGTTTAGACTGGTTCGAGCGACGCGGTAGCGGCGACCTACGGGTGGGTCTTCATTTCTTTGGGCATCCCTGGTGCAATCATTATCTTTTAACGACCCCAATAATCCCTTGCGGGGTGGAGTCTGGGCAACTGAAGGGAGCTGAGTGTATACTGGCCGGATGCCTTTCATGTCGCCATTGCGGAGTCATATTCAGCAGATATATATTCTCATCGTGCCCAGAGAGAGAAATATCTGCCTCTACCTAGGATCGAACTCACCGCCTCCTGATTGTGAGGAGAGAGTTCCACCTCCAGGCCACCACATCACACAATTCCTGGTGAGGTGAACTTGGCCGTTGTTTGCTCGACCCGCTTTGGGGTTTTAGTGTGTCGTGTGAATCCCATCCGTGTCCAGATTTGGCAAGCGCAGCCAAATCGTTACTTTCCCAAACTTTTGACATATGTGTACCCTTCTCTAATTTTCGTAACGCTGAGTACCCCTCATAAAAAACATATGCTTTAATAAAAATCA